CCAGCATCTTCCCACCTGTCTTTGATCTGCCTTTTCTTTGAAGTGGGCATCATCAAATCTCCCTCGGCTCCTTTTCAGAAGGGCACTTAGGAGGACTCAGAGGCTACCTGTTTCATTCAGCACCGTTTACTCATCTCAGGATCAAAGGCCTTTCTGTTTTGTTTAGCCACATAAAGGTTGTAGACACAGGTTTCATCCATATTGGGGGGAAGATGTGAGTATTGTCATTTTTAGTTCACCCAAAACAACATTGCTCAACTGTCTACATTCGGAGTTCAACAGAGCAGAGAAGCTGGTCTCAGGATCCACCCAGGGCCTTCTTTCTGTCCCTTGTGTTCTCCCTGCTCCTCATGAACCTATTTCCCTCTGTACCTGTGGCCTCCCCTGGAGCCTCCCCTCCCCCCCTTCCCTCTTGACTACTCGTTCTCCTCTTCCATGAGCTTCAGGACCAGGGCAGGTTCTGTAGAAATGCCTTCCCTGATCCTCTGGGCCAGCCAGGCCATGGCACCACCTTGCTTCTCCTTTCCAAGTTGGAACTTGACATATCTCTGGGGGTCAGCATCCTTACCTGCTCTGTGCCATCACTTTATTCTCAACACCCAGCACTGAACAGGCATTCAATAAAAATGAAGGAGTGAATCTGGGCTTCAACTCTTGCAGGCTTGATGTGTTTGTTGACCCTGGCTGATGCAATAAAATACCAGAGTGAGTGGCTTAATCAACAGAAATTTATATTCTCACGGCTTTGGAGGTTTGAAGTCCAAGATCAAGGTGATATCAGAATTGACTTTCCTTCTTTCTTATTTTTTTTGGTGGGGGTGAGAGGAGGAGGAAGATTGAATCCAGGGGCAATCTACAACTCCAGCCCCTCATCTTTTTAAAAAAAAATTTGTGATAGGGTCTTGCCAAATGCCCAGGCTGGCCTTGATTAGTTGGGGTTACAGGTATGTGCAAGCCTTCCTATCATATTTTAAGGCTTCTCTTCCTAGCTTGCAGACAGCCACCTTCTCTCAAAGGCTTTCTTCTGTGTGCACCCTTGAGAGGAAGAGGGTGAGGAAGAAAAAGGAGGGAGAGAGGGACAGAGTCTGAAGGAACAAGGGAGGGAGAGGAAGAGAGAGGGAGAGAAGGAGAGAGGAAGGGGTAAAGAAAAAGTTGGGGGAGGAGAGGAGACAGAATGGTGAGGAGAGGAAGAAAAGAGAGCTCATGTGGGTATCATGCATCTTCCTCTGCTTATAAGGACACTAATTCTATCAGATTAAGACCCCACCCTTATGATCTCATTTAACAGTAATTATCTCCTTAAAAAGCATCATCTCCAAATGGTCACATTGAGGGTCAGGGCTCCAACATATGAATTTGGGGAGGGACAAAATTCAGTCTGTGACACTGTAGGACCTTAACTTCCCTAAGCCTTGCTTCCTTCATCCCAGTTGCTTGGGAACAAGAGAGAGTTTGATCATTAAATGACAAGAATCGAGGTAATGTGAGGAAAGCCCCGTGTATTACCTTACCCAGAGCAAGGGTCTTGGTTGTGTGCCCCAGAACAGACGAGCGTTGGAGGGTAGGTTGATCTTTTGAAAGGTGAAGGAAATAGCAGGAGAATGGACAGTGCACACTTGTCCCCAGTGGGGGCATTTACAAACAAAGCTCTGTAAGGTCCTGCAGTGGAAGTGTCAAACTTTGTTTTAATTCTATGACCTCCAATTTTATTTTCACAAAGATTTTATTCATTTACTAAGCACTGACCTTTTAAAAAGTGAAAATTTCTAACAATACAATTGGGAATTATCAGTTCAGGCTAATAGAGATGTGACTGTAAAGTTTGTAAAGAGATTTTCAATCTGTTTCTGTCACCCCTGTAGCCTGTGAACCTGTGACTGGCACATAGAAAGTGTTCAATAAGCATTTGTTTTTGCAACAGTTTTAAAGCAATTCCCCCTGAAAAAAAAAAAGGCATTCTGAAGATATTTTTATGAACAACAGCTTTGTGAAAAATGATTGTCTAACTATTTTGAAGACTTTGGGGGAAATCACAGCTGAATATATACATGTTAAAATATTGGCTTAAAAGTTTGTTTGTTTTAAATTCTGGCTTTCATCCCATTCATTATTTAAGTGAAACTCTGAGCTTTCCTTTTAAAAGAAAGAAAGAGAATCTAGGCTATCAGAAGCTATTGTCCATGGGRGAAGACCTGCCTCCACCCTCAAATCTGTGTGTGGATACAGGTCAGAGACCTCAGAGGTACTAATGTCCCTCTGGTCTGATCTTGCTAAAAAGAATGTTTCAACTTCTATTTACTCCCTCTACACTTTACCCTCTTGTTGAATGCTGAGGTTAGCCAGCTGTGACCCCACAATAAGGTGAACAGAATTAAATTAGAGGATTTCTGACAAGTGCGTCCCCTTTACCCTCAATGCCAGGCAGACCTTACTATTTGTTGGCCTCCTATGTCAGCCGAGGCCAGGGTGAGTCCTTGTCACTCTCCTCATTCTCTGACAAGACCTAAGGTCTTTTTCAGGCTGGCGCAGTTCAGAAGCAACAAAGCATACATGATAAGTGAGATTTGCAACAAAGAGGCTTTTCTCTATAGATCACTGCTCCAGCTGGGCATCCCTGCTATTTTTGCCCAATAGTCCTAAGAATGGCAACACCAAGGGCAGCTCATTGCTTGTYCATCATTATTACCATGAAAAGTTTGCAATCCTAATTATTTACTCATTCTTCGGAGATGAGATGGAAGCATGGAGACTATAAAGCAAGTTTGTTTTGTCTCCTGATTGGTTAGCCACTTGTATGCCCACATACCCATTTCCCAAGAAGGAATATGTCCTGGGAACTTGCTTATCTTCCTAGCACTTGAAAAAGGCAGGAGCTGGTCATGGTAGCATTCTCTTCCCACCCTATAAAGGGCTATGATGGTGTTTCTAGATAAGAGGAGAGGGAAGTACGCCATCCAGGTTCTCAGGCTAAGTCTTTCCTTGAAGAATGATAATATGGATCTTGTAAGATGGTTTATAAAATAGTCAACCCAAGCCTGGTAACCTCATGAATGGGTTATTACAGTGCTGAGAGGGTTGAAGTCATGGGTAGGTAAGCAATGAAACACAATAACAATGGAAAGAAATATTTCTATTATATTTCTATTTGGGAAATGGATATATTGCCTCGTTTTACTCAGATGTTGGCCTGGCTACTGCTTCCAGGTGACTCTGGCTTTGTCATTAATCATGTGTCTTCCCCACTCCCCTCAATAAAAGACCCATAGTGAGAAACTGTAAGCTCCATGAAGCCAGAGGTTGCATCTGAGTTTGCTTCCACCCTGAGTGCCTCRCACCAAGTTTAGCACACAGGAGAGGCTGCACAAATATTTGTGGAGTTGAATAAAACATCTGCCATATGTATGTACTCCTTAAATAGGAGTCATCGTTGTTGTCATGGAGTTTGTCATTATCATCATCATCATCATCATCACCATATCATCATATCATACCAGGTGGCATTTTATAGAAAAATTCCTTCCTCCTCAGATGATAAGGATCTCAAGTTGGCTTGGCCTAGGCAGCTTTTCTGGACTTTTCACATTTGGCATTTAAATGCTCTTGGTGTTTTCACTGCTTTAACACAAAGACAAAAATGTATAGTATGAGAATATCAATAAATGGGTGTGTCTCCCCGCCTGGCATGGTGATTTCCTCTCATATCTTTCTGTGACTATGTATTATATTCTATTGTGCAAACAGACAAACAGAAAAATACACCAAAACTTCATAACTTAAAAAAAGTGTTCATTATCTCACAATTTCTGTGTATCAAGAATCAAGGTGCAGTTTTTCTAGGTCCCTAGATCTTCAATCAAGGTGCTGTGAGTTATCTCTGGGCGCAGCCTGAGAGTAGATCTCCATCCAAGCTTGTACATGTAGCTGTAGGCAGGCCTCAGGTTCTCAGGGGCCGTTGGTTAGGGACATCATTTCCTTTCCACACAAGCCTCTCTATGGGACTAACTTACAACTTGGCAGCATGCTTTCCCCAGAGCAAAGTCTCAGAGAGAGAGGAAATGGAATCAGAAAGATGGAAGTCATGGGCATCATATAGCCCAATCTCAGAAGTGGTATAGCCTCATTTTTGTGTTCATTAGAAGCAAGTCACTAAATTCATCCCACACTCAAGAGAGATGGATTACACAATAATATGAATACCAGGAAGATAGGATCATTGGGGACCATCTAAAATAAACAATGCCTACCACAGTGGGTGATGTTCTCCCCAAGAATAACTTTCTAAATCCTTTTCTCCTTTTGGCATCATGGACTATATACTCAACCTGGATCTCAATGCCTTTCCAAACTTCTCTTTAAAAAAAGGAAATCAGAGGAATGGGCAGGTTTGGCTAAGAATGACTTCCAATATGATAATGATTTTTCATTGTCAATTGCACATGTGCACAGACACTGGATCATGGAGAGGACCCCAGCTACTCCTCTTGACTTGTCTCAGCATCAGCTTCCTGATGATTGACTTTGTAGCCTCCCAATGAATCTATTAAGAACAGAACCCTAGAGGTTGTAGACATAAAAGCTACATATTTAGACATTGGGCTCCTTTTCCTCCCTGCACCCCATCCCTCACTTTGCAGAGAGGTATGGTGCTAATTTGAGATCATTTTGAAGCTTCATTTCCATTATCTTACTGTACATGTTCAATATTATCTATTTAACTTTGATATAAATGCCTCAGGAACAATTAAACCTCCTTCTTCCTAATTGACTGAATTATGTGTAAGTCTTCACTCCCTTTCTTACGCCACACACGATCAGGGGAAAGAAAGAAAGGAATAACCTATACTAAGGGAAGCCCACAGAAGAATCTTGAAATATAAATGGACATCCATGTCATAATTTCAAATAGAGCTGCGAATGCAGAATTATGTAGAGGGAAAAAAATTAAAAATAGACCTTCGGTTCTATGACTAGCATTTCTCATTTTGTTTCCTTTTGTGCAGATTGTTTCCCAGAGAAAGCTGTCCAAATCCTTGCTGAAGCACGGGAACACGGCAGGAAAATCTTCCATCACGGTGAGAGCTCCCTGAGTAGCCCTCTGCCCAGATTGGCCCAGGCAAACCCAACACTTGGCAAATAGACCCTCTGCCTGTTGGACATTGGATGCTACAACTGCTGAACTATCCAAGTTACTTACCTCTTTCTTTTTTTTTTTTTTCCTTCTTTCTCTTTCCTGACAATGCAATTTTGATCCTTCTACCCTTAGGGGAAATGGGGAAGAAAAAGGATTTGAAAATGAGGTTACTCCCTTCTCCTAAGCACTTCTGCAATTGCTATACAGGTTTTAATAGAGGAGAAAGTTGATATTGCTGAACACAGTAATAATATGGAATTGTCTGGGGTTTTCAGATCATCAAAGTTACCCCCCGACACCTGCCCTCGATTTAGAATTAAAACTCTGTGCTTTGTGTTAATAGCATTCAGTCCAAGGTTTGATCTGTTGCCTGAGAAGCAGATAGCCCAGCATTTAACACTGTCTTTGATATAATGGTTTGGAACTATTCTGTCCGATCTGATTCTGTAGCCACTAGACATGATCATTTAAACAAATAAAATTATTTAAAATTAAATAAAAGCAACTACTCAGTTCCTTAGCCACTCCAGCCATACATGAATGCTCAATAGTTACATTTGACTGGCAGCTACTTTATTGCACAGTGCAAATTAYAGGACATTTTTATCCATGCAGAATGTTCTATTGGAAAATGGTGAAATTATTTCTACATAGGAATGGAAATTTTCATATGGCACTCCTTGAATTTGAAACTTTGACATTTCATATTTGAGTCTTTGAGAAAAGTAGAGAACAGTTGTCTAATCATTTAACTGTGTGGATAAAAAAGAGTGAGAAAGGTCAAAAAATAGTACTAAGAAAAATCTAAATTGCTAGGAAGGCAAATTGCAAGGAGGCAAAGCTACTGACTTCTTTCAGTTCCTCCTTTTTAACTTGAGAGTGACTTGTTCATTTTTTTAAAAGAAGAAAGCAATGTTTTAAAAGAAAAAAAAAATTCAAAAGGGTCCCTTTGTGAATTGGGGCATTCTGTTAAGAACTTAACTGAGTGTGTTACTGGAATATTTAATTAATTTATTTATTTTTGTGGTGCTGAGGGTTGAATCCAGGCTTCCTACATGCCAAACACACTCTGTACCTCCAAACTACAGCCCCAGCCCCTGTGGCTTCAATATTTTAAATGACATTGTCATGTCAAGGCTTCTTTCTTTTATAATCGATAATGAATCGAGTGCTCTTTGAAGAGCTCACTAGTGCTGTAAAAAGCCCAGGGTTCACTCCCAATGGCCACAAACCCAGTGGACCCAGGTATAAAATATTGCTGTGGTTCTTTCCCAGGAGAATAAACCTGATCTTCCTACCTGTTCTCTATGACATCTTGGAGATTTTCTTCCTCCATAAATCCCAGAAAAATTTAATCTTCTTAATTTTAAATATTTAAATAGTCCCTTTTATCTTGGGTCCCCAAACCAAAACATTGGCTTCAATAGCTTCTGAGAATATGTGTGAAATTTTTGAGACGACCACAGATAGAAAAGATTATAACTTTGATCAGCTTCCCTAAGGTGTCCTGTGACCACAAAATAGGTAAGGACCACCACTCAAATAGAAGATAAAAGGCATTGGGGTGGTAAGGGACAAAAGTGAACATATATATATATATATATATATATATATATATATATATATATATATGATTCCTGAGTTACTAAACAGTTCTTGTTTTTCCTGTATGCCTTGAGTCTTCCCTGTATACCTGAGTTTATCTTTTATACCTGAAAACTTATGTTTCTGACTTTTAGTATCCCTCTTTAGACAACCTTTTTAGCCTTAATCTTAGATGTAAATAACCTTAAGTTTTCTAGAGGCTGCCAGTCAGTATTTAGAGCAAGTCCTAATGGAAAAGTTGAGCTCAGAAATAAATGGAGAYAACATTGAATTAAATCTTAGTGTCTCAAAAAAATCAGTTTGATAAGGATGATTGTGTGCTTCAGTCCCTGAGTACATGTGAAATCCTAACATGTAAATGTTATATGCAACTAGCCCAACCCCTAGATTTTTGTTGCTTTTTTTTTTTTTACTGCTTTTCTCTTGATTTTTTTCACCAACTTCTGCTCTAAGGTTTTGAGAGTCACTGGCTAGAGTCCCTTTTTATACACGAGGAGATAATATTGTCCAATAGGCCCTTTCATAATGTCACTTTATAAAAAAAATCTTTGTCAGAGAAGAGACTTTTTCTTCTTCTTCCTGACCCTCCCCCTTCCTCTTTCTTCCTTCTTATTTATTTGTTTGTTTATTTATTTATGCTTTCCTCTCTTAAAGCCCAGGAACAGTCTTGTGAAAAGCAGAAATTAGAACATATCTTTGACCATCATGGTCTGCAACAGACACAGAGATGAATTCATCTTCTCATCCCTTGTTGGTCTGACTCCAGATAGTAGAGAAATATAGTTATTCTTTCTTCTTCGTAATTCCCCAAGGAGAAAAATATACACGTAGTTATTTATGGAGGTACCATCCAATGCTGAGTGCCCTTTAAAGAAAGAAGCTCTTCCAAACTGCTGTCCCTGATATTTCTTCCTCCAGTATGGGTCCCATCTCTAGATTCTGATGCTCGCCATAAATGTAATCTAGTTGTCTACTGCTGTCTTTTCCAGGGACCTTTCAATACCCTGGTGTGTCATGTTTACCAGGGTTATAGGCAAACTTCTTGCCCAACATTTGTTTTGTCAATTTTCAGACCAAACATGAACTAAATTTGCCACATGGCTTCTTGGGCTAAAGGATCCACCCTCCACTGCAGCTGATGTGTGCTTTTTCCTTTAGGTAATCGCTGAAGAATTATCTGGCAATGATGACTATGTGGAACTCGCATTCAATGCACGAAAACTGGATGACAAGGTAAAGTGTATGGCCATTAACCTCATCGAAGGAAGTAATAAAGCTAGCACACACAGTTTAATCAGATTTCTCCCCGAAGCTATTTTTCCCTTTCAACCCACATTATTAAACAGATCAAAGATTTCAGAGAGGTCTTCAAAGTAAGGCTCTCCCCAAATTGAGAAGCAGTTAATGAGAAGGGGAAGGAACTGTAATTAAAACAGGACAGTCTCATTACACAAAGACTTATTTCCAGATGCCACAGGTCAGATGTGCACAGGAAAATAGGATTTAACCCCATTGTTAGGGATATCCTAAGGAAAAGGAGAGGGAAGAAAAGTGACATTTATTAAGTGTCTGTGTTTGCCAAGTTCAGGGTTAAGAGCTTTACATACATTGTCTTATTTAGTCATTTGCACAACTGCTACGTAACAAGTATTATTAACACTTTTGCAGGAGAGGGAAGATTTTTCAAAGACAAAATAATTTGCCTAAGGTCGTTCCATATGTTTTTCTAGATCCTCTGAGAGGCAGACACTAAGACAGAATTCAATATGCAAGGGTTTTATTGGTAGAAATGCCCCCGTGTAAGGTACATACAGAGACAGGTAGGGAAAACCAACAGACCACGATCAAAGTCTGATGCTGAATGGAGGAAAGAGGAAGTAAAGTGCAGGTGGAAGTCTCCCAGGACACCAGGCAGACTGAGGAAGTTTCAGCAAGGCTGTCAGGAAATCCTAGAGCCACAGTCAGCTACTCCCAGGAAGAGGCTTCCCTTAACACCCATTGTGCACACCCTTACTGGCTGGGAGCTGCCGTAGGAATCTGGCCCACAGTGCAAGTGCAGGGGTGGATTTCAGAGCTCCGCAGCCTGTAACCTGAGACAGTTACATTCCCTAGAGTTGGAGGTCTGCAAGGCACATTTTCATGGCTTTGCTAGTTAGTGGTGAAACTGAAGATCCGATCCCATGTCAGTCTAATCTCCATCTATACTCATTCTAATGCAACTTCTACCGAAGCACAGGCCACGTTAGTCTCACACACACACACATACTGCACAACTTAAGGTGCAGCGTCCACACCCTAAAGACAGGTGGAGGTGTCCTTCCCAACCTCACCATGTGATATCTATGATTTCCCACCAAATATATGTCCTTAAGTCAAAAACCACATCACATCAATTAACGTATTCTCATAGATCTCCATTTTCCTAGAGTATAACTAGACAATTGGGGAGTTGGGGATGCCGTATACTTTCTCAATGACTGACAGCAATGTCTCCAGCAACTGTTTAAAGTCTTCAGCAGCAGCTTACATGTTGGCATATCACATTCACCTTCCACCTAAAAGATGTATTCAGCCCAATTATGCATTCGAGGGTTCACTCTTATACGTTGGTTGATTTATTTATTCACTCGTTCATCAGTCATTCATTGGCTAAACTGTGTTAGGAGTTTATTATGCACAAAGTACTGGGGGAAATGCACACTAAAAAAAGGCGTGTCACTCTCCCACCCCAACCTGGAATTCATCATCTAAGTAAAACATAAATTTAAAAAAACAAATAAAAATGTTACTGCCATATTAGGATATGACCATTGATGTATAATCAGGGTATTCTGGGAAGGGTAATGGGTTCTGTCTGAGGACATCAGAAAAGATTTTACCCTTATGACCTAACCACATTTTGATATTTTTAATGTCCTGAGTAGACTGTGAAATCTTTCCAAACTGCTGTCTTTGGGCATTTGCATGAGCTAGGTGCTGAGGCCCGTAGAAAGCATGGTGAGTTGGGAGTGAGCTTTGAACTTTCACCCACTTTCAACTACTGTGTTCCTTCTCCTCCATCATCTACCTACATTTCAGAAGAGATCTCAAAACGGATCTGCAGTGTCTACCCCGGTGCCATTATAAGCTATAGGGTCAGTAGGTGACAGTTTACAGCTACTCACTTAATGGCTTATAATGGTTTCTGTCCACTTAGCAGTCTCTTAAGTACCTCTAATTTGTCCTCTAACTGATTTACATTATAGTACAAGGGGACTTGGGAGTTTGGAAGGGACCCATTGTGTTTTTTAGTTCCTTTTAGTCAAATGAATACTTGCTCATGGGACTAAATGAGCCCTCCATAGCACTTCATATGGTTCTAAATGGCCATTCCCACCACGAATAGCACTTATCATCCAGAGCCCTGGTCACTGCTGATCCTCAAGGACCCAGTGCTGTAGAACCCAGATCCTTTGACATGTAACTGTGTCTTGTCCAGATTCCTCAGTATTCCAGAGAACCAAGTAGGGGTACTATGGTGCAGTTTGGATTGAAAGGTGAACAGCCTCAGGTTGAAAGAGGTCAAAGAACGGAGGAGTAGGAGGACACCATAAAGATGATCTCACACAACCTCTGCAAGGAAACAGAGGCTCAGTGAGGTCTGATGATTTACCCAAGGATGCACAGCAAACTATCCAAAGGCTCAGTGCCTTCCATTAACAACTGTTTTATAGTATATGTTGGTTACAAGTAAGTCACTTTAATTCCTGATTAAAGTGACCTAGAGTTGTTATTTAGAAGCTACAAATATCTGAATGTATGCTTGATATTTTTTTCCTATTTTTTATTTGTTCAATTTATTTATACATGACAGTAGAATGCACTTTGACGCGTTGTACATAAATGGAGTATAACTTCTCATTCTTCTGGTTGTACATGATATAGAATCACAGCAGTCATGTAGTCATATATGCACTTAGGGTAACAATGTCTGGTTCATTCTACTATCTTTCCTACCCTCATACCCCCTCCCCTCCCTTCACTGCCTTCTGCCTAATCCAAAATAACTCTATTCTTCCCTAGTGCCCTCCCCGTATTATGAATTAGCATCCACATATCAGAGAAAACATTTAGCCTTTGTTTTTTGGGGGGATTGGCTTATTTCACTTAGCATGATATTTTCCAGCGCCATCCATTTACCTGAAAATGCCATAATTTCACTCTTCTTTATGGCTGAGTAATATTCCATTGTGTATATATACAACATTTTCTTTATCCACTCATCTGTTGAAGAGCATCTAGGTTGGTTCCATAATTCATAATATTGTGAATTGAGCTGCTATAAATGCTGAGTTATCTGAAGCCCAGATCCATCAGATACAYTTGATATATTTTCTAATATTTTTTAGTTGTCAATGGACCTTTATTTTTTTGTTTTTGTTGTTTATATGTGGTGCTAAGGATGGAACCCAGTGCCTCACACATGCYAGGCAAGCACTCTACCACTGAGCCACAACAGCTATACTAGATATTTTTGAGCCGATATTTTTGAGTTGCTTTACAGGAATCAGATACCTCCTTAATAGTAATCATCCTGGTATTTATATAGTTCTTTACCAACTATTTTCATGCATTCAGTCTTCTGTTGATAATAATCATAGAAGCCAAAGTTTTTGAGTGCTTAGCATGTGCCATGCCCTGGTCGCACAGCATCATCTTTTCTTCTCTCACCCTGCCAAGGTAAAGGGTGATACTCCTTCTATTCATGGCTGGGAAACTGAACTTGGGGAAGTTAAATATTTTGCCTAAGGCCAGCCAGCTTACATGTGGGGAGCTGGGATGTTAAAGCATTGGTAAAGCCAGTGTGCTGCATATTAGATTTTCGGTTATTGGAAGAAAGAAACTATATCTGATCTCGTGTGTGTGTGTGTGTGTGTGTGTGTGTGTGTGTGTGTCTTATATGGTGCCCTCCTGACAACTACATACTAACCCTAAATAGTAATTTTAAAATAATGTGAAATAAAACAGAGTGCTTCAATACACTACCAAGTAAAAGAAAAGCAGTATTAAATTATACATATGGTATAGTTACAGATACATGTATATATTTAAAAGGAAGAGAGAAAATAAAATTATGCCTAGATTCTAGAAAAAGATTTACAAAAATACCTATTGGTATTTGTGGAATTATGAGTGGGGTTATGGGTTAAGTTTTTCCTTCTTTCTGTCTTTATCATCTCTCTACATGTTACAATTTTAAATTTTAAAAAAATGGTAACAAATGTTTAATTTATCAATAACGAGGGAAAAGTAAAATAATTGATCAAGTTCTTCTGTTGGGGTCAGCAGTTTTGAAGTATAATTAATAAACACATCCCCAGAGAGGAACCAACAGTCTATTCATGGAGACAAAACTACTACAGAGGGAGCCCGGGGCACAGCGGAACAGAGTGTGGCCCACAGCCACTAGAGAGGGGAGAGAAGAGGAAAGTTCCAGTTTTTTAGGATGAGTGTAGAAACAAATAGGCCTGAGGGGCAAATGTCTTGGCAAATGCAAAGAAATCAGCTGGGAGTGTGTCTGGGAGAGAAATGGGCTGTTTCGGGGAGGAGACTAGGTTTATGGAGCAGGCCCGTAATGGATGCAGCCATTGTGGGTTCTTGAGAGGAGAAAGGCTCTGGTCATCTGGTACTTCCAGAAGTAGGACTGAAGGATGTAACTAGGTACTGTGCAGCGTGGTGTTCAGTTCCTGTTGGGTAAAGAGGAAAGCAAAAGAGAAGATAGTAATCCCCACCTCCCATCTCTTCTCTTTCTGGGATACCCTACAAAGTCTCTAGACTCATTTTCTCCTCCTTCAGAGCCAATCATTGTTTTCCTGGTTAGACTCCTTCAGTGGCTTCCTGTCCCCAGCTCCTTCTAGACAGGGTCTTAGACTGCAGTCGAGTTAAGGGACTCAGTGTATCCCTCTCCATGTTTACATTTCCACTCGGGCTGTTCTCTAAAATATCTTCCTCACAACCATCTTCTGCAGCCAAAATTCATCATCTCTCTTCTCTTCTACAAAGATTTCCTGCTCGTTGATTCATTCATTATAAGCCCTGGGTTGGGTTGATTCGAATACTTGTTTTACCACCAAACTGGATGGTATGRGCAGGACTGAGAGCAGGGTCCAGCTCTCCTTATATCTTAACATCAAGCACAAAAGCTTTATGGTTAGTGTACAGCTGCAGATGTTTTGCTGATCTCAAGACTAGGATGGCTGGTAAAGACATCAATTGTGAGGAAATGTTTAGAAGAAGAGCCCTCCCCCCCAAAAAAAAAAAACAGCACAAGAGGAAATAATGTATTTAGCTTATTAACTTTTAGGGATAAAAGATGACAGTTAAGACAAATATTGACATAGTTCTGTTTTGTTTCAGTTTAGATTTCTAAAAAAAAAAAATCTCACCTGGTGAAATATATAAGAGTATGATAAATAAGGCTGTTGCACAAATAGCTTCCTGTCCTATATCACATACTTGTGTCATGCATTCATATGTTTATGTATTCATTCATTCAACCAATAAACGCCATGTACTGCTAAAATCTAAATGCTATGGGAGATGCTGAGGAAGTAATAGAAATATAAAGCAAAGTAAGACCTAATTCCTCTGCTCTCAAAATGTGTAACCTATTTGGTAAGGAATAAATTTACAAGAAGGAACGGATGTAGATAGGTTCTGCCTGCAATTAAGAAGCACCTATTTGTTTTACATCACTCTCCCACTGAAAGCAACTTTATGCATTAGAAAAGATACAAGAGGCATCTGTTTGAGAGTCGCAAGGCTGTCAGGATTTGAGGGGCCAAGATTCTGGGGGAGAGGAGAAAGCCATCAAGGTGATTCAGACAGTCTGTACAGACTTTCCATCCAAGGATGATTCCTAAAGCACCGTGGATTTAGAGCCTGGGAAGTCACCAGAAAATAGCTACTAAGAAACAGAGAAATTGAGCACAGGTTTCGATGGCTTCCTGGGGCTGAGAAAGAATAACTGAAATTTTAGGGCAACTAAGAGACTCTTCAGAGAAGGCAAGAGCTCAACCGTCTTGAGTGGATTATCCTCTCCAGACATTCACTAATTAGCAAATAAAAGCATGGAGAGAAATTGAACAAAAACTTAGAGCCAGGAGACAGTGGAGATAAGAGAAGACCAGGAAGTCTCACAACTAAAACCAGCACGGAGGACTTTATCAAAGAGGAATAGCTCTCACAAACATTCAGGCTTTCCGTTAGAGGACTCTAAGGACCACACCTAAGGAGAAAAGGAATCAGAAATAGATTGGGCCTTTTATTAAAGACTTCTGAAGAAATCCAACTTCTGAATAGCTTAATCCCAATTGGATTTAAGGGACTCCCCCCACCCATTCCAACTGCTTGCTAGAAACTAAAGACTCATCTAAAACCTTTATAATTTTTCTCACATAGTGTGTGTTTAATCAAAAAACAAGCATATCCAAAACCAGATAATAGAAACAGACTCACAGGTGATCCAGATATTGTCGTCATCAGATGTAGACTTCATGATAACTCTAATGAATGTGTTCCAAACAACAAATACACAGCTTCTCAGGGAACTGGGGTTTGAACTGATCTTTGAAGATTACTTTGGATTTCAACCAAGTACTTATTTCACGAAGGACTTGGAGTTCAGTTGCAGCTTATTCTAGGCAGGGGTGGATCACACATAAGGATAAAGAACAAAGCAAGAAAAGATGTTGTGCACTGTCTCAGGGCAAGGAGAGGAGAGCGTGGGTGGAACAGGAGCAGGATTCAGGAAGAGATGACTAGTTGTCCTCCATTCCCTCCATTCCACATGTGGGCAATAGAAAAATCAGAAGAGGGGCCCAGGTGGTTAATCTTCCTAATGGATCAGGGATGGATTAAATGCAGAGGAAAAAAATCATTTTGTTTCTATTTCTCTGTTTTAGGATTTCTTCAGTAAATCTGACCCATTCCTGGAAATTTTTCGCATGAATGACGATGCCACTCAGCAGCTTGTGCACCGAACTGAGGTAAGAAGAGTCATCTCCAGCTACGCCAGTTTGTCTCCTAAGATAATAAATTGACCTGTTTGAGGGACACCTCCTATGTCTTACTGTCTGTACATAGGCACTGCCCTCAAGATGTCTCTGCCTTTTTAGCTTAGTTTCTTTATTCTCAATCTATATGTTCAGTGAGAAGAGCTCTATCGCCCCACTTTTCCATTGTTGATCTTGAACAGAGACAGCCAGCAACTTATTAATAAAATATGAAAACTAGCTAACATTTAATGAAGATAACTAGGTACCAAGCATCCGATTAAGTGATTTGCATGCATTATTTTACTTGCTTTTCATGATAATCCCTTGATGGAATTATTATTATCTCCCCCACTTTACAGTTAAACAAACTGAAGTTTGGGGAGACTTTGTTATTTTTCCAGGTCTCACAGTGAGCAAGGGGCAAAGCTAAGGTTTACACTGAGGTTGTTCAGCTCTAAGCTTCGCTGCAATTTCAGAAGTCAACCTGCTTCTTCAGGAAAAGTATATACACTGGACTGATTGATATCAGACCTGTCATATGAATAACTGCCCTGTCCCAAGAGCCAGTTGGTCAACTATATTCCTTCTCCCACCCTCCCTCCTCTTTCTGCAAAAATAACCCTAAAGCTCATCCCTCCCTAGCCTAACCCCTGCTACCCACCATCTCATACACACAGGCAGTAACCAATCCTGATCTCAATTTGTTGCTTTTTACTTGTAAGTTCTGCAGTGCAATTCTAAGAAGGAAATGGAATAGGATATTGGAATAATTGTGGTGAAGGACTTGGAGCTCAGACAAGATCCTGTTGTGTGTATATACCAGTGGCAGGGTCAAGAAAGAAGAGATCCCATGATCTTCATGGGATGATGGTGGGAGTACCGTATTCTCACCACCCCATGCCTTAAATCCAACTCTATTTTCCTAAAGTAACAGATTTGCAGRTGTTGTTGGGGGCTCGGGAGGATTTTCCTGTTGTTCTTAGGAGACAAAAATTAAATAATCTTGGATGGGCTAATTATGGATATCATCAGTCACATCATTAGCATCTTGTAAAATATATTTAATGAAAGAATGAATAAATGAGTGKAGTTAAATAAAAATAATCTGTCCACTCCATGCTGTAGAACAATGAGATTCTCTGGAACTTAACCCCTGGAGAATAGACTAAAGTATAGCTCACACAGTTGTTGTCCCAAGTAGTTCTTCATCACCACCACCAGTTAGAGTCTCCTTCATATATAAAGACTCCTTTAGTGACGTACACCTTGGGGAGAAATAAACTTTGGACAAAGTCAGTAGTGGAATTTATTCATTTGTGCTTTTGTTCTAGTTAGTGAACAGGGGCTTCAACCAACCAGGGAGAAAGTATGGGTGTAACATATTATTGAATTTCTCTCACAAGATCTTCCTTTCTTCTGCTCCTGATAGCAGTCCTGTTCTCATTATTTATATGAGTAAATTCTCCTATCCCCAAGAATCTCTAGAACTTCCCCCACTTACCTTAAGAGTCAGGATTCGTAGAGTCTCATGGGAAATTTTGATTTCTTATGAGACTCTATGAATTTGTAGAGCCTTTCAATGGGTCAAACAACATAATATTGACCTTTCCTCTTGTTTACTCAGTAGATACAAAATAAATGCCAGGAAATACTATTCTCTTGGGGGAAAGTACACATGTGTGCAGGTAGGCACATGTGTACACAAGCACATGCACAAATAGATTTTAAACTTTAGATGGAATATCTAGTTGAAATTTTGATTTGCTAAACGAATTTTTTTCAAAACTGCTGCAATGAGACATTTTCATTTTAGCATTTTTATTAAAAAAAAGGTGAGAAATTGAAATGAACCCAAACAATCTTACCTAATTTTTCCTTCTTATTATCACTTTGATCATCCTCAGTGTATCCAAAGACAAGACAAAGTCACACAGGAACGTTCTTTCTCTAACACATTAAAATAAATTTAATAATGAGCCCATGATATAATCAATAATTCATATTATATTAGGGAATCCAGTTTAGAAAAACGGAAGCACTTAGAAAATAATTATGTTATGTAAATAGAGAATTATTTATTTTAGACACTAAGACTTCCACTAACAAAAAAGTTCATAGGAAGAAAAATCAGTGGGACGATTTCATTTGACTTCATCTGTATATCCCCTAGCACAGCAGTTCTCAAATTTTATGCATCAGAATCACCTAGGAGACCCATCTAGGAGAGTGCAAGTAGGACTGGGTGGAGCCCAGACTTTTCTGGCTTTAGTCCCCATGTGATATAGCACCTGGTCTGGGAACCCCGCCCCAGAGTAGACAATACAGAGCAGGCCCTTTTGCATGCTGAACCAAACTGAATTGTTCGTATCACCATGATGGTAGGATACAACTTTGTTTTTATGAGCTCTTGGGCAGGATTTGGCCAAGTTCATGATTAATTTTAAAATAATTTTACTATGTTATAGACTTTGTAATCTGAAGAGCTGCCTGGTTGTGCCTTTCCAGTACATTCTAGTTGAGATGGTCATGAGCTATGTCAGAATGTTCCTAGAATTTTTCTTCTAGAAACTTCTCTTACAATCTGACATGACTCAAACATCGTCCAGTTCTTTAGCAGTAGACTTGTCCTGCACACCCTTCACCTTTACCAAGTCTTTACCTCTGCTGACACCAAGAGAAAGAACTGTATGCTACAGTCCTATAGAATAGGAGGCCCTTTATCAATGGTCAGAAGCAGCCTTGCTTCCTTAATTACAGTCCTTTTGATATGGAAGGGATCATCCTCAGTATCTAAATGCTGGATGACATGATTGTCATGATTCATGAAACAGCCAGGCCAGTGACCAGAGGAGTGCTGCCCAAAATGACCTGCTTAAAAGGTTCACTACTCCAAGTTTCCCTGAAGGCACCTGTGCCAGACAGTTGTTCTTTTCATAAGCCTCACAGTGGTTTCTCCAGTAGTTTTTTTATGTTGAAATGTAAAAATGTCACTCATGTTCTCCCCTCCTTCACCATGCCTCTCTGTTTTCCCAGGTTGTGATGAATAACTTAAGCCCAGCCTGGAAATCATTCAAAGTATCAGTAAACTCTCTATGCAGTGGAGATCCAGATCGCCGGCTGAAGGTCAGAAATCTATCCAAGAAATGTGAATTTTAAAATAATAACCTTCCTCTTTCTCCTCATAGAAATGTTAACAAACCCCCAAATTTCTAAGTCATTCATTCAATGCTTCCACCTTTGGGCATCTTAATGGAAGAAAGAGAGAGTATTTCTTCTGTTAAAGTCACTGAAGCTTATACAATGAACTAATAGAATAAATCCTAGTTGTGGTACATCGAGAGATAAAAACCTGTGGCTTCTCAGAAATATAACTGTGACAATAACTTCTGGCTATAATTGGGAATTATGAAAAAAAATATTTCCATAACATGCTACTCCACAATTTAGTGGTTTAAAATAAAGTCATTTGTTTAGCTTATGATTCTGTGCTYTGGCAAATTAAACTGAACTGATCTAAGTGGTTCTCAGGTGGTTCTCGCTTGGAGTCTCTGAGGCATTTGCTACCCATGAGCAGGCTGGCTCTACTTCTAAAGGTTGGCTGGTTGTCATCTGAAATGACTGGTGGATGGGGCCATATACCTCTCATCATTCTTCAGGCTAGCTTGGACTTATAATGTCCCACAGTTGATACTATCGGTTCAGGATGATTAAGTAACTCACTGGAGACTGGTGCCTATGAACCAGAAAGACCAGTTGATTAATGCTCAGTGCCAAACATGACTATCAAGCAGATTTGGCAGTCAATCGGCTTCACCAGGCATTTTGTTGTGGGTGAACCATAGGGAAGACAGTTGTCAGAAGGTGACTACACTTAGAGCCCAAAGCCCAGCCAAGGATGCTAGATAATTGAGTCTATCAATGACTTCACATTCTGAAAGCCAGGGCATCTACCTCCACTATGGGAATCATGGTCCATCAGGCAGAGTAAACATTCATGTTGGCCTTTAAGGGCACCTGTTCCCAAGAAAGGGTGAGATGATTGCCTTTGTAACTTTACATTCTCCTCACTCCTTTCACCCCATCAGACCTTGTTCTGATGGATAAAGTTCTTTTGATTTGTCCACGTTTCCGTCAGRTTAGAATCTCATCTGGTTTGGTCAGTCCTCGCCTCTTTGAGGTGACTTTATATGTCTTTGTTTGAACCCATTGTGTGTGAACCTCTTCTGGGTTGAACTCTCAGTGGACACATTGACTTCCGTCTTCCCGAGGAGCAAGTCCATTCTATCTGATGTCTCCTGTCGGAGCCAAGGTAGCTCAAGACTCAACTCCTGCTGAAAACTGTTTCCTTTCAAAAAATCAGAATTCCTGGCTATTGGGGTTTCGGGTGGAAGTTCCTATGCAAGATGGCCGAGAGCTACAGCTTCAGGCATGGCATGGAAATTATCACCCGTGATCTGTGCAGCACTGTCCCATTCCTCCGTTAGCCACAGATCAGTTTTGTCATGGGGAGTTATTAAATGGATAAAGGTTTTCTGTATCTGAATGAATAAAAATATAAAAGGAGTGCTTGGCAGCCTTTTGAATATGCTAATGTCTCTATCCGGAACAAGGGACAATAAAGATCATGGATGGATAAGTGGGACAATGAGCAGATAAGCAGAGAGACAGAAAGAGCAGAAAGGCATAAATAAAGAATGAGAGAGGAAGAACGAAAGGGAGGAATGGAAGGAAACAAAAGAGAAGGAAGGATCGATCAGAGTTTCTCAACAGCTACACTATTGACATTTTGGATTTTGCTGTTCAGGGTTGTCCTGTGTGTTGGATATGTTTAGCAGCATCCCTGGCTACTAGATGCCAGTAGTATTTTACCCCCAGACACATACACAGACACTCTGGCAAATACCCCCTTTCTCTGTCAGTTTGACAACCAAAAGTGTATTCAGACATTACTAAATAAATGTTCTCCAGAGGGTAAAATCATTTTCAATTAAGAACCACTGGCATAGACCAATGGCTTTCTAATTTATGATGCATCCAAATTACTTGGAGGACTTTCTAAAATACTTTGCTTCACCTCCCCCTGCCCCCCCGGTTTCTAACTCAAGAGGCCCACTGTGGACCTGAGAATCTGCATTTCTGACAAGTTCCCAGGTCATGCTAATACTGCTGGTCTAGGAGCACCCTTTGAGAAACCCTGGAGTAAACTTTTGCTCCTTTCATTACAACCCATCCATTGCCTAAGGCCCACATACCTCTCTATGTCCCCAGTGATAATTAGTTCTTTCCAGTTTGCTCCTTGAGGGTAGACTCGAGTTTGTGCACAACATATCCAGGCGTCTAGCACCGTGCTTGGTCCAAGTCAATATCCAGTAGCTTTTTCTGCAATTAATGTATGGAGGATCAGGAGAGGCAGAGAGAGGTCAATGGGGCTCTTCTGAGGAGGAGACACCCATAATCATGGGTATACTGGTGTTTACTAAGCCACAAAGCTATATTGTCACTCACCTGCTCAAAATAACCACCTTTTCCACAAGACAAAATACACTCCCATATAACCCTTTATTTGTATTTATTGATTATTTTGTTACAAAGACAACAGTGAAATTCTCCTAAGGCCTTCTCCAAAATGAAGTGGTACATACTGTCAGGCAGCACTCTGTCTATGGGTGTATCATTCTCCTGCAACGTCTTCCACCCCCCAAAAATCAGAAAGTGAATTTTTTTTAACATTTATTTTTTAGTTTTAGGTGGACACAATATCTTTATTTTATTTTTTTAATGTGGTGCTGAGGATCAAACCCAGTGCCCTACGCATGCTAGTCTGGTGCTCCACCTCTGAGCCACAACCCCAGCCCAGACACAAAATTTCTTTAAAACCCTCTGTCAAGGTAGATGGTAAAGCTTAGCAAAATTCTAACAATTAGGCTTTTGTTCCAACAAGGCTTGGTATCTTTAAAAATTTCCATTCATTCAAGATACACACGAACACCCAGTTTAAAGAACTTTTTGTTGTAATCTCATAGTGTACTTTTCTTTTATGGGAAAACAAAAAACAATATCCAAATAACTTTTTCCAAAATTGATCTTTAACTTATTTATTAAGGAAACACTTAAACACACATGAAAGTAGGAAGATAGTATGATGCCACCTCTCCTATCACACACTGCAGCAGCTCTGAATCAGGGCCAGTTTTATGTCACCTGCTCCCCTCAGTGGTCACTTCCCCATCTCTCTCTCCACCACTGGATCATTTTGGAACAAGTCTCACCTGGAAGTGCTTCAGTACATATTGCTAAAGGATAAAGAATCTCTCTATAAACATAGCCTCAAAACCATTATCATGCCTGAAAATATTAAATATACATCCTTAAATTCTGCCATTATTTAGATTTGCCCAACTCTCTTATTTATTAAATAATTGGTTTTATTTGTTTTTCTCTTTTCTTTTTTGTTTTTTATCTTTAAAATACATAACATTTATATTTAAAAATTAAACACTCAAAAAGACCCTTGAGTTCTCTTGACATAAACCTAATATAAGTGTTTAATAGTTTCTTTGCTTTAAGGAATGAATTTTTGAAATTCATGAATTATGAATCTTTAAAAAAAGTAAGAAAAACATGTTTCCAAACACAGAAAACCAGAATGTTTATAACAAATATATAGCTTTATAATTCATAAGCATCCTAGAATATACATCTATTCTAAATCCTGCATCCAAGGTCCAATATTCAACTGTCAGTAAGCCTGGCTACCAAAATCTCAGCAACTGTCTGAAACAATGACACTGATAACTGTTAGATAACTAACCACCAGAAGAACTTAGCAGTGAGAAAGAAAACAGGGGGGAAAAAATGAACTGCAAGAAACAATAATAGTAAGAAGTTAATGAGTTTTCTAAGTCTCCATACTAGAAAGTGTTTCAACTCTTGCATTGTTGTTGTTGGTTTTTTTGTTTTGTTTTGGTACCAGGGATTGAACTCAGGAGCACTTGACCACTGAGCCACATCCCTAGCCTATTTTGTATTTTATTTAGAGACAGGGTCTCACTGAATTGCTTAGCACCTCGCTGTTGCTGAGGCTGCCTTTGACCTCGCAATCCTCCTGCCTCAGCCTCCTGAGCTGCTGGGATTACAGACGTGCTCCAACATGCCTGGCTCAACTCTTGCATTTTTACTTGTTTGTGATTTAAGTTCTGAAACAAAGCTCCTGGAGTTTTTGTGACCTAACAATAGATATTTGGTATTGACACTGATCCTGTAACCCAATGAACTCTACTAGATGGGGAAAAAAATTTGGAATTATCCAATATTGTGGACACCATATTGGATAATTTGAAGCTAAAGAAACCTTATTTCTGTTAGCAATCTGAAGACTCAAGCATTACTATGAGGACCTTGACTAATACAGTTTTGATAATGTGACTTACATTAGATACTTCTGTTTGTTTTTTTGTTTGTTTTAAATTAGGATTTAAACAAGATCCTGTCACTGAATCTGAATGAAATGTCTCTGAAGTCTTTTTTTTAGTTGGTTCATTGTCTGTCCCTCTTTTAATTTTTTTCCCTGCAGTTTTGTTAATGAAGAAACCATGTTGGTTTGTCCTGTAGCATTTCTCACAATCTCTGTTTCCTAAAAATGGCAGTTGAAACTTGATCAGATTCAGGGTCTGTCTTCTGGCAAGAGTGCCTTTAGTATTATTAAGAATTCATAGGTTTATTTTTTTTCACATGAGTGTTTCAATCTATTTCAGTTATTATTTCTCTGAATTATTGAATTGTTCCTTATTTGACCAATGAAAACCCCTTTAAGTTGACCCTTGAGTTCTCTTGACATAAACCTAATATAAGTGTTTAATAGTTTCTTTGCTTTAAGGAATGAATTTTTGAAATTCATGAATTATGAAATTTTGCAATTTTCTCCATAGCATATATCTTTCTACAGATACTGACTCATGTTTTAATGTATCTTGAAATAATTCCTCCCCATAGGTCATATTCTGGCCCACAGAACTGTCAGATTCATTTCTTTCATTTTGTTTTTCCTTTAGGGGCAATTTTTCTTCAATTTAAATTTTTTATAATTATAAAACATATGGTAATGTGGTTCCAATGTCAAAACT